TTTGGAAAAAAAAAAAAATATATATATATATATATAATATATAAAGGGGGGGTGATAAAAAAATAAAATTCTAACTTTGGTTATGAGGGGAATTGACATTTTATGTATGCCTGTTTCTGGGTAATCAGCAGCCAGGGTAGACAAAAAGGAATTCTTTTTTTTTTTTTTTTGAGATGGAGTTTGGCTCTTCTTGCCCAGGCTGGAGTGCAGTGGCTTGATCTTGGCTCACCGCAGCCTCCACCTCCTAGGTTCAAGCGATTCTCCTGCCTCAGCCTCCCAAGTAGCTGGGATTACAGGCATGCACCACCATGCCTGGCTAATTTTTTGTATTTTTAGTAGAGATAGTGTTTTACCATGTTGGCCAGGCTGGTCTCAAACTCCTGACCTTAGCTGATCCACCTGCCTTGGCCACTCAAAGTGCTGGGATTAAAGGCATGAGCCATCAAGCCCAGCCAAGAAAGGAATTCTTACAGTAGTGATGTTGTAAAATGTACCATTGATAAATCATCTCCAGTTACACAAAATAAAAGTTGTGTATATGTCTGCCAGAAACATTGTACCAATAGTTCTCTGTGACACATACCAGAATTGCCAACTAAACTTTGGCAAGACCTATCTGCCTGGAGCTCCACCTTTGGAGGTGTAGGGAGTTGAGGTCCAAGCCCTCATATGTTTAGAAAGGTACACAGGTATTTCTGATGCCCACCAGAGGGAGAGAGCTGCCGCTGCCTTACACTTTAGACACACTCACTTAGCCTTGTTGTGGGTCATGCTCTAGCTCTGGCCATTCATTCTCTCTTTATCTGACTTCAGGAACAACTTCAGAGATGATATCGTGCTGCCTTGAATTGAGAGAACCACAGGGAATGAGGGATCTCATTCAAAGATTTTCTAAGGCTGAATGCTCTTAGCCCTTATTGGTAGATTAATCAGAAGACGTGAGTGGGATGCAATGGGGCATGCTCTGCAATCCCATCTACGTGGGAGGCTGGGGCAGGAGGATAGCTTGAGCCTAGAAGTTTGAGACCTGCCCAGGCAAAATGGTGAGAACTTGACTTAAAAAACTCTGGTGTTTCTGAAGAGTCCTGCTGTTTCTGTTCCAGCCTGCTGTGAATCTGCCATTCCTGAATTTAAGCAGAAAAAGGGTCTATTTCCTCATACTATTCTAATACATTTAAATAGTATTAATTCTTTTTTTGCTGTTGTTCTTTTTTGAACTGTGGTTCGGAAGGATAAATAGTATTAATTCTAATACTATTCTAATACATACAAAATAGAATAATTTGCCTTTTTGCAATTTCTGTTTCATACCTACACCACTCCAGATGAAGGGTTTGTAACTGTGGAATTAAAAAATGCTTAGAAATTTGCAATTGTGTAGTCAGATCTGAATTTGCAGTTTGAAAAAGGAAAATGTTAAATACACTTGTATGTGCTACAGCTCCCAAATTACTAAAGCCACCTGGCCAACTCTGAGATACAGGGAGGGTACGAAGCCTGACACCTGGCTGGGCACTGTGGCTCTTGCCTGTAATCCCAACACTTTGGGAGGCCAAGGCAGGTGGATCACCTGAGGTCAGGAGTTTGAGGCCAGCCTGGGCAGCATGGTGGAACCCTGTCTCTACTAAAAGTACAAAAAATCCAGATGTGGTCGCATGTGCCTATAGTCTCAGCTACTCAGGATGCTGAGGCAGGAGAACTGTTTGAACCCAGGAGGTGGAGGTTGCAATGAGCCAAGATGGCGCCACTGCACTCTAGCCTGGGTGGCAGAGTGAGACTCTGTCTAAAAAAAAAAAAAGAAAAGAAAAAATCTGACAGCTAGCAGGTTTCAGGATCCATCTGCCACGTCAATGAAAGGCTAGAGCCTCAAATCCTACAGATGAGAGTCATTTTTCTCCTCCTTAGCTTCTTAGAGTTTAAGAGAGTTGCAGCAGCCCTGAAAAGTAATGATTGAGCAAGATGAAGCTGTCAGAATTGAACTTTGATTTTTTCAGAGAAACTATACCTAGTTCATCTGAAGTGTTGTGTGAACTGCAGGAAGCTTCCAATGCTGGAAACTTCTCTCTTACTGTCGTGCCTTCCTACTTAGAAGTGCCCATGCTCTGCTCAGCTGTGACTGTACTGACCTCAGGACCTCTCTGGACAAGGCATGTGGAGACCCTTACAGGAGCCCTGGTAAGGGTGCAATCATCGTTTTGTTGTTTTGTTTTTTTTTTGAGATGGAGTTTCGCTCTTGTTGCCAAGATCGTGTGTCATTGCAACCTCCGCCTCCGGGTTCAAACGATTCTCCTGCCTTAGCCTTCCAAGTAGCTGGGATTACAGGCACCCACCACTATGCCAGGCTAATTTTGTATTTTTAGTAAGATGGGGTTTCACCATGTTAGCCAGGCTGGTCTTGAACTCCTGACCTCAGGTGATCCACCTGCCCCGGCCTCCCAAAGTGCTGGGATTACAGGCGTGAGCCACGCCTGGCCTGATCCTATTGTTGCACTATTTATGGAGCAACAACTTTGTACAGAGAATGAGCTTTGTACAGAGAACAAGCTTGGCTTTTTCTCCCAATGCCGAGGATGCTGCTGATGCCGCTACGTAATAGCATAATTTTGGGTGTTCTCAAGGACAGAACTTCCCCTTTGAATAGTGGAACAATGAATTTCACCGGGGAATACATACCGACTGATGTGAAGAAAATATGCTGTTATTTATTCCCTCCCGCGTCATTTCCATGATTTGCTTTTGTACTGTGAGTTTAGAGGAAATGTGTGATGCTGGCGTTTTGTTTGGCTTGTTTGATGCTGGAGGTTTTATGTGTTGTACATTTTACCCCTTACATTGTATAATTTGAATGCAGCAAACAAACCTGCAGTAAAAGTCCTTTATTGGCGTCTTGGTTCAGATGGATGGAGGGCCTTTGTGGTAGCGTTTGCCTTTGTGAACAGCAGACCTTTCAGATGAGAGAAGTGGGTTTTCCTTGGTGATGGAGGTGTAGAGATTGAGCCATGGGGATGATTTAGGTTGAAGAATGCTTTTTTTGGCCAGCTTGAGGATCTAACAACAGAGTAGAAGGGAGCATCCCCTAGGTCAGCATGCAGAGCGGTGGGAGGGCTCTTATCTTCCTTACCCAAGCCTCTCTTTTCACTTTTCTTGAAGTCCAGAAGTTGCTCTATGATGAAATAGCATCCTTTAACGTTTATTTCTTGGTGCCACAGGAGCTCCATTCCTCTGCCATTCTCATAATTCTTCCCAAAGGCCTATGATCTAAAAATTTCACCAGGGTGTCACTTAGCTGTGAGGCTGCATACACAGTCTACACTTCTGAAATCTGAACTTAGTTTATCAGTGGTGCTGTCTGAACTTCATAATGCCAACATTTACTGAACACTTACTGTGTGCTTGGCTTATATCATAAGGAAACAGCAAAATTAGGGGACTGGTATAAATGGTGAAGCTAGGCCTGAATCTAAGCTTTGTCTTCAGAGCCAGCACCCCTAATCTCACTTTCTGTCAAATATTACTTTTCAAAGAATGAAGTTGTAGCCAAATCTTGAAATTTTCATTTACCCTAAGTGAGGACAAATGAAACTTTCAAGAAATTGAGACCAATGTGTTCGGTCCTCACAGAAGGACTAGGCTGAACTTGCCCAGTGTTAGCAATTCCTTAGAACTAGGTTAGTGGAATCACAGGGAGAAGGTGATATGGGCTATAATTAACTTTTTCTTTTTTTTTTTTTTTTGCTTCTGAGACAGTTTTGCTGTGTCACCAGGCTGG